CATTTTGTTTAGATCCATAATCAACACTCATGGAAGCAGCAGTTGAGAAATCAAATGATGTATTGCATTAGCAAATCTGATGCAAAAGAGCAAAGCTGTCACTTTGAAGTCCTCTCACCAAGTCATGGTATTTTCAATAGCCTCATATGCATGTGAAAGCTGGATAATGAATAAGGAAGACCATAAAATAATCAATGCATTTGAATTTTGAAGAATATTGAAAGTACCATGGACTGTCAGAAGAACAATAAAATCTGCATGGAACGAGTACAATCAGAATGTTCCTTAGAAGTAAGGATGGTGAGACCTCCCTCACTTCTCATACTTTGGACATGTTGTTATGAAGGACCAGCCCCTAGAGAAGTGCATCATGCTTAGTAAAGTGGAGGGTCAGTGAAACAGAAGAAGACCCTTACAGTGCAACGGATTACTTCATCTGGCTCTTCTACCCATAATCCTTATAACTACTACCAAACAACTTCTTTCTGATGGGTCTGTGTAAGAAAAAGTAGAAGATGATGCTGATAAGAAGATATGATTCAATTGTGATTGTTGATAGAGTTAATTGTAGTTATAAAAACTTGGAACTCTAACATGGGTCTAAAATAAGCCATCTCAGAAGCAGGAGAGGGGAATCTCACTACCATCAAAGAAGATAAGCCAGGAGTGGAGTGCATCTTTTGGACCCCAAGATTCCTGGGCACTGAGCCTCCTTGACCCAGGGTCAGAAAGTTGTGACACTAGAGGAGTGGCAGAGGTGCAGAAAATGACAAAACCAAGAGCCAGAGCATGAAACAGAGTGGTTGGCTTCCTAGTCCATGGAGCAAGTAACATTTTGTGATGTTTTGCAGGAGGCTTGCTTGTAGAGTGCCTTCAAGCACTTAATTGGGGGAGCTAGGTATGCTGTCCAACAGAGTTAGAGCTAAGTGGCTTCAGGCAAGGCTTATAATGGAGTGGTGTGCCCTGTGAGTATTTATTAGTAGCCCTAAAAGAGAGGCTTGTCTGTGGGCATGGCTGAGGAGAAACTGTCCTGACTGCAATAACTGTGCTCTGAACATTTTCGGATCCTGCAGTGTAACCTGTTAACTTCCCTAATAAATCTCATAACTGTGAGTATGGTGTCTGAGTTCTGTGTGACCACTGAAATAAATTATTGAACCTAGCTGAGTAGAGAATGCTATGGAAGGATTGGTTTGGTGCCATTTTTTTGCAGTTTAGCATCAGGAATGAGATTTGTTGCAATGGATCCAGACTCATGAGAGCATGGGATCTTGTAAGAGAAAGAACAAAGAGACACGATTTAGATGATAATTTTGGTTATTGTTATCTGTAAGAGAAAGGAGTGTAAGAGCTATGCTGCTGCCGCCAAGGGGAGAAAAGCTACTAGAGTCACCTGAGATAAAAGCCACACTGATGGGGGACTGCACCTACTCGATCCACTCTACTAGCCAGAGGCCCAAGGCCATATGAAAATATGTGATGGAAATGGTTATTGGGTTTCATGATCACAGAGAGTAGCTAAGCCTACCTTCATCCTACACTTGATTGGAAAAGCTAAATGGGGAGTTAGAAATTGCCAGGGAGAAAAAAGCTTTTTGTTTTACGTCTTAGTAGAGTATGGGGTCTTAGGTAGAAACCTGAGCCCCACCTGGAACTGCTAAGAGAGTAGGAAATTTACCTGTAAGGGAAAAACCTGCAGGGGAAAAAAAAAAAATTACTGTTTGGCTTTTCTGAATTTTAAACAAGCAGTTTACCATTGAATTCATCAAGACAGGAAAAGTCTGTGCCCATCACAGAAAACCCCATTCTAGGACTGAAAGTTAAATGGAGCTGGTAAGTAGACAGCCTAGTATGCTCGCTGGTTCTCTTGATGAGGAGATGTGGAGAAGAATGCAACACTGAAGAAATAGGTTAAGAGAGGAGAGGAAGGGCCTTTGGGTACCAACCTAGCCCTTAGGGGCTAGGGCTGAGAGAGTGAAAGGGCCGGCAGGTCTGAAATACAGGGAAGTGTTGTGGACTCCCAAGTTTGCAGCTGGTACCCATTTGACCTAGCTTCAGTGGCTAGTACTGAATTGACCAGAACCTATCTAAATGAAGAGAAAGACGTGCAACACTGTGAGCTAGTGTAAATTGCTACAATTTTGATGGCTTGTTCAGGACTGGATTTTGCTTGTGGATGTTGTTGTTGATGTTAAGTGCTGTTGAGTCAGTTCTGACCCATAGTGACCCTGTATAGGGTTTCTGAGGAGCAACAGGTGAGCCTGAACTGCCAACCCTGTGGTTCAAATCAACTTTTCAGTCCAGCACATTAACTCAGAGCACCACACCAGAACTACTTGCTTGTGGATACAGATGCTTAAAGTTCCACCCAGAGAAGACTCTGAAGATCAAGAAACATGCTAATCTCCTCAGAGTACTCAAATGTTAGGGATGGGCAATATAGAAATGAGATATCTAAAATGGGAGAAGAGAAAAGGCATGAAGTGGCTGGGTTACAACCCTCTTTGACCCAGGGACAGAAAGTTGTGACACCAGAGGAGTGGCAGAGGAGCACAACTGAGAACTAGAGCATGAGACAGAGTGGTTGGCTTTCCAGTCTATGGAGCAAGTAAAGCTTTTGTGACTTTAGGTATAAGTGCCTCCAGGCACTTAATTGGGGAAGCTAGGTTTGCTGACCAACAGAGTTAGAGCTAAGTACCTTCAGACTGAGGCTTATAGTGGAGTGGTGTACCCTGTGAGCATTTATTAGTAGCCCTAAAAGAGCTTTGTAAACATTGTCCAATCAGAGAAAGGCTTGCCTGTGGGCATGGCTGAGGGGATAGCCTGTTTTTCTGGAAGAATTGTGCTCTGAACATTTTCTGATCCTGCAGTGTAGCCTGTTAACTTCCCTAATAAATCCCATAACTGTGAGTATGGTGTCTGAGTTCTGTATGGCCATGATGTGAATTACTGAACTCAACTGAATAGAGTGCTATGGGAGGAGTGGTTTGATACCATTTAAAATATATATACATAGCTTTTATTGTGAATTGAATGAAGGTTTACAGGGCAGATCATCAGTTTTACGTTCAACAAATCTTTGTAATGATTACAATCCCCTCCATACACCATCAGCTAACAGTATTTGCCCCTATTACCTTTTTTTTTTTTTTTTAATGTACACATACCACGTTGAAAAAATATATTTGTTTAAATGTCCAAAAGGCACATTTTGCAAACCAGCTTCCTGTCCTCAGGCACACTGCCTTTTTCAGTCCCTCTGCTGCTCTGTCTCTCTATGCCATCACCTCTGCCCCATCTCTGCTGTCACAGCTTTTTAGGTTAGGATCCCTTATTCCTCTCATGCTCTTCCCTCTTGATGGTCCTAGGGTCCTCTGTTCCTGAAATGACAGATTAGCTGCTCCCCACTTTTAATTACATTTCTTCTACATTTATAATTGTGATAATCACCATTAGTCTTGGTAACAATTACTCATAATTTTATGAGTGAATAAAATCATTTATGAGTGAATCATAAAATCATTTCCCCATCATCACCAGATCCATCTGGACAAGAGGAAAACTCAATGGTACCATTTTTTGCAACCCACAATGAGATAGGTTGACACAGTGGCAGTAACAATGGGTTCAAACAAAACAATGTGAAACAGGACTGGGCAGTGTTTCATTCACAGCATAGGGTTGCTATAAGTTGGAACCAACTTGATGTTGCCTAACAATAACATTTAGAGCCCCAGGTGTTTCTTTCTGCATTTTTTGGAGGATCCATAAACTTAGATTCAGAACTATCTCAGAGCTGACCATCCAGCCTCCCAAGACAGTAGTAATTTCTCCCCTGGTAGTGATAGCCAAGCTTGAATGGCTCTGTCTGGAGTCCCTGGGTGATAAAACAATTAAGTCTCAGTTGCTAACAAAAGGTTGGTGGTTTGAGTCCACCCAGAGGCACCTCGAAAGAAAGGTCTAACAATCTACTTTTGAAAAATCAGTCATTGTAGAAGCACAGTTCTATTCTGACACACATGGGCTCAACATGTGTCAGCGATGGCAACTGGTTGATTGGCTTCCACAGTCCAAGGGCCAAGAGTTTCTCGTGCAAAATGTTTTCTTTAAAAGAAAATATTCTTGTCTGATTATTTTGGCAATGTTGGCTACAGTTTAACACCCGAGTCAGCTTGCTAAAGTCTGGAACTTCCTCTGCACTTGGTCTAACCGCGCCCCAATTCACGCCCCTCTCCAAACTCTACTCCACTGTACCCAACTCCCATTTCACAGAGAGGTCCCCAGGATTAGGTGCGGCCCCAAAGCGACGCTTGCATACCCCCACAAGCTGTCTTGGAGGAGCAGCTTAGTGGGATGCCGGCCCAATTCGTAGGTGAGTTAAGGGAACCATCTCTAAAGAGCGGAGTGCTGGCTCGGGTCGGCAGAACCTCAGTCCCTACCCTCATCCACAGCTCCCACCCACTTCCCCATTCCTGCCCTAGCCTCTAGGTACCCCAGTCCTAGTCTTTCTCTGAAGGTCTTCCAGTCCCGCCCCACTGCGTCACATTTAACCCTGGGTCGGTGCATTGCAATTGGCCTACAGTAGCCCACTTCGCTCCACCCCCTGCCCTGTGATTGGCTGGAGTACGGGACACCGCCTCGTTTTCCTGGAAAGTTCTTGGAAATATATCAAAGGTATTTTCTTCTGCAGTCTAAGGCCCCTGACGCTAGTCCCCACGTCCGGCCCGCGCCACTGCGCAGCCTGAGGTTCTAAGAAGACGCGCTTCCGGGAAGAGTTGGGACGCAGTGGACAAAAGATTAGGCGGAGGCTCGCCCCGCCCCACCCATTGGGCCCGCCCCCCATCCCTAGTCCCTCCGGGCTGCTCCGCATCACTGCCTCTCAGTCAGTACTTGCTCTTTGGGAGACAGTCCTCCGCGTGTCTTTCACGCCTACCGGCTCTCTACTGCTACCGCCTCCCGCGCAGACCCCGCTCCAGAACTGCTACCGCCGCCTCCGGGACATGGTCCTCTGCGTTCAGGGGTAAACGCGGCTCGCCGCCCCCACTCAGCCTCTGCACTGGAGACCCCAGGGAGCAAGGGATTGGTACTCTCTCTGCGGGGCATTGGGGGGGCTTGCCGGGTCTGAGCTGAGCTGAATGAGCGGGAAGGACCTCGGGAGTGCGGGGCCATATGAGACTGTGATACCACCGCTCTACCGACCTGACCTTCGGTGGGGAAAAAAGTTTGGCTGGCAATGAGAGGAATACCAAAAGGTGGCTCACGAGCCCAAATTCCCTTTTGGAGCAATGTCCCTCCGTACCCCAGACTGTGGACCACCCTGTCTACTGGTAACGTTGGGCCAGCCCCCGCCCCCTCTCTGTCAGTCGTAGGCTAGCGATTAGGCGTTTCTTGGGAAGCCAGCCTGAGATCCTTGCCTCTCCCCTAGCCTGGCAACTGCTGACAAGTGTCTCTTAGGAGAGCCTGGAGTTAGCTTGATCACTGCCTGGATCTGGGATCCCAGGGGAGAAGGACCTTGGGTCCTGCCCCCTTTTACAAGTTTTCCAAAAGCCTAGGGGGAGGGCACTGATAAGACAAGAGTTATAGCCTCAGCCTTGAGCCTCAGCATTCCCTTAACTAAGCAGACTCATGCTTTCAGGACTAGGACTAATCTGGCCGAGCTCTGGAGGCTGGGGAGAGGAGGAGTGTGTGAATGGGTGCTACACTGCCAGGGAAAGCGGATGGCTGCTGTTATCAGAATGGCATGATGCCAAGAGAGTGGGAGTGGTGTGAGGTTGATGTACCCCTTGCTCTAAACAGCTCTCAGTCCAGGGAGGGAGTACTTGAAGGTGCTTAAAAGACTTGTTACTAGTTGCCATCGAATCCATTCCTACTAATGGCCATCCTATGTGTTACAGAGTAGAATTGTTCCATGGAGTTTTTTGGCTGTAATTTTAATAGAAGCAGATTGCCAGGTCATTTCTTCTGCGGCACTGCTGGGTGGATTCAAATTGCCAATCCTTAGGTTAGCAATTGAATACAAACTGTTTGTGTCTCCTAGAGGCTTAGAAGACTACACTTCTCCCTGATTATCTTCAGTGTTCTCCTTCCTCGTCTCTAGTGTTTGGCTCTCCTGGACACCTCACTACCACTGCCACCTTCCTCAGCAGAATCCTCCTTTCCCTCACCCTGAGGGCCTATAGCTCTCACTTTGGCCCAACTGAGGACCTCCTGGGAATTTTAGGACCAATGTTAAATGTAGAAGAGCAAGGCTTTTAACAGACCCCTTACCTACACACATAGCCATAGTCTAGCTGGTGTTCTTTTGGAATGGGGGCTAGGGATACTCAACTGTAGGTTTGAGCTGCCAGTTTTGCTGGGGGATCTCCCCCAGGACTGCATTCTCCCCCCAAGTCTGTATGTCTAGACAGGATTTACAAGCTAGGCCCCACAGCAGGCACACGCACGCAAAGGCCACCCACGCCTGGAACACATCAACCACCACCCTATCATGAAGATGACACAGCTGTGGACACACCCCTGCCCAAAGTCATTCAGGATCTTAGGAGAACCAACACAGCCATTTACACACTCATACACTTTGGCCCTAGAGGTGCCCATGTCAACATACAGGACCTGTACAGAGACCCTGCTAAACTGTCTGGACATGGCCACGCCCACAGACTCTACCCTAGCCAGCCAGACGCCTACCATGCTCCTGGAAGGCGCCTGGGCCTGGGCCGAGCTCTGGGCCCCAGTGGGCAAGCCACCAGCCACTTCCTTGGAACCTGGCCTCCAGCTCCCTGAGCGGGATTCCAGAGCTCCCACAGGGTAGCCAGGGTGGGTGTGGAAAAGTACTGGGCAGGCTGTGGTGTTATGTGTCCCCTTCTCCCTGTGAGTGGTGATGAAGCCTGCTTTGTTAGAATCTTCTAAGGGTCACCTGTAACCTACACTGTGAGGCCTGGCATTTAAGGCTGCTGCCTACCTCTTCTTGCCTCACAGGGCATACCTGGCATCTTTTCCTGCTTCTAGGGCTTTGCCCATTCTGTCATCTCTACCTAGAGTGACCTGTCCTTTCTTTGGCTTGACAGAACCTGATACTCCCATGACATCTGTGCTTTTTTTGGAATTGATTATAGTTACCCTCAGTACCAGCCTTCCCAGCCAGTCAGTTCTCTGTGAGGGGCAGGGCCCATGGTTTTATTATCTGAGGCTCAGCAGAAGACCATGTCTAGTACTGAGGCTCAAGGATTTTGTAAGAAATAAGAGAGGAACAGCAGTTGCTTCGCTGGGAAACAGGACCCACCAGTCTTTGCCCCAACTTTAGAAAGGAAGCTCAAGGATGGCTTTGTTGGGAGGGCTTCCCCTGGAGGGCAATTACTACTCAGACTCAACTCCCCAACCCTGACCATCCAAGGGTATGATGTCAGACTCCTTGCTGTCTGGGTTGGTGGGAGAAGCAGGGTTTTTACATAAAGCCTTTTACATTTGCGAGGGTGAGATTTGGAATATGGGTTTTTAGTGGGAGCGTATATTTATGGGGAGGTCAAACTGGCTACTGTTTTCAAAGGCTGGGCACACCCCAGACCTCTCAGCTGTGAAGAGCAGGGGCCAGGATGGGAATTAGAGTCAGATCTGTAGGGGTAGTAGATAGTTCCAGTTGCAATCCCAGATCAGTGTGAGTACAGGTCTCTCTATCAGACACACCTGTCCATAGGGATGGTTTGTTGTGACCTCACAACTCCTACCATAATCTTGAAGCCTCTCTGAAAGACCTCAGACTGGCCTATCCCATACATCAAGTAGGGCCAGGGCCACTTAATCCTCCTCATTCAGAAGGACACAAATGTGTGGTTTCTTTGCACTGAATACCACCAATGCAGCAGGGACGCTGACTAGTCACCGTGAGCTAGAAATACCTCTAGGACAGGATTTGTGGTTTTGATTGATACAAAATAGAGAGATTACGATTGTTTAATAAACACAGCAGATGGAAAAATCTTTCAAAGGAGTTCAAATATAGGTGAATTGATCAAGGGGGCTTTTGTAATAACAAAGGGAAGGAAAGGGGGCAGCTGTGCTAGACTCATTGAGCCCATAGGTAGATAGAAGGAAACTGAGGCTCACAGAGAAAAGGGTTAGCCCAAAGTTCTATAGCCAATCTAGGACCTGAGGGATTTCTGGAAATGGGAGAAGCATGGGGCTTCTACTCACTGACCATTTACCCCTTTTCAGACCTCGTCCTTTGCGGCCTGAGGAGCGGATTGGGCAGCAGTCCCTAAGGGCTCGTTCCCTGAAGCTGCCCGAGTCAACTATGCAGCCCTTGCCTGCTGGGGTCTTCCTGGAGGAGGTAGTAGACGAGACCTCAGCCCAGCCAGAAAGTGACCAGCCCAAGGTGCTGGACCCTGAGGAGGATCTGCTGTGTATTGCCAAGACCTTCTCCTATCTTCGGGAATCTGGTGAGCCTGGGGAGGGAGGCAGTCCTGGACCTAGGGAGTCTGATGGGGAAAGCTTGGTTCTGCACTGATAAGTCTGACTGGGAGGTATGAACCTGCCCAGCAATGTCTGATGGGAAAGGTATAGCCCTCCCTGTGACAATGTGAGGGGGAGGCATAGCCCTGCCCTGCCCTACCCTGCCCTACCCTGCCCTGCCCTGGGTTGATACTTCCAGCTCATTTTCTCTGACCAGTTCCTTGGTTCCTCTCTCCATTTGCCTAGGCTGGTATTGGGGTTCTATTACAGCCAGTGAGGCTCGGCAACACCTGCAGAAGATGCCAGAAGGTACCTTCCTAGTACGAGATAGCACCCACCCCAGCTACCTGTTCACACTGTCTGTCAAGACCACCCGAGGCCCCACCAATGTGCGCATTGAGTACACCGACTCCAGCTTCCGCTTGGACTCCAACTGCCTGTCCAGGCCACGCATCCTGGCCTTCCCAGATGTGGTCAGCCTTGTACAGCACTATGTGGCCTCCTGTGCTTCTGACACCCGAAGTGACAGCCCTGACCCCATCCCTGTACCACCCCTGCCTGCTCCCAAGGAGGATGCGGCCAGCACCCCAGTGTTGCCCGTCCCCATGACCACTGCTGTGCACCTAAAGCTGGTACAGCCCTTTGTGCGCAGAAGCAGTGCCCGCAGTCTGCAGCACCTGTGCCGCCTTGTCATCAACCGACTTGTGGCTGACGTGGACTGCCTGCCACTACCCCGGCGCATGGCTAACTACCTTCGACAGTACCCCTTCCAGCTCTGACCCAGCCATACTCTGCAGGGGGGAACACTGGCCCCAGCTGGACTTGGGCTCCATTATCCATCCTTCCATTAGCCTGGTGCCTGCATGCATCCAGCAGCTGGACCAGAAGAGCCAACAGATGGGGAGAGGTGGTGCCTCACAACTTGGACTTTGGCTTCCCTCTTCCCCCATGGGGCTCATGTGGTGAACCAGGTTTCAGAGGAAAGGGAGACAGGCAGGACCCCCTCTCACCCTGCAGGCAGGGCTCAGGCCTCCCCTCAGTTGCCCACCCAGCCACCTGCACTGTCTTGACTTCCCCACCCTAATTCTGCAGCGTGGAGCAGACCCCTTTCCTCCAGTTGGACTCCACCTCAGGGAGGATGGTGACCAGAGGAACTGAAGTGAACAATGACAGTCCCCTTGTCAGGGAGTAGGCCAGGCTGGGGGCTACACAGTTATACAGTATTTATTTATTTATTCTCCTTGAGGTTGGTCTCAGGGATAAGCTGACCCCACCTCTCTGCCCAGGCCCTCGGTGGACTGGAGTCCTCAGCTCTGCCCTGGCTTCTTTGGTCCCTTCTCATGGAGAACCATGCTCTGAGATGTTACTGGATCCAAGCCAGTCTTGGATGTCCTAGTACTGACCTACCTGCGAACCTCAACCTTCACCTGCCCACCTAGGGACAAGAAAACAGAGCCAAAGCTGCAGTCCCCAGCAGAGCCTGTGGCTCCCCCACCTCCAGCAGAGCAAAGAGCTGGTCAAAGAGCTGGTCTCGCCCTGCTGCAGCCCTGCCTGAAGGCCTGTGCTGGGAAGGTGGGGTGGGAGGGCACAGATTCAAAGGCTGCCATTCTTATGAGCTCTACTGGGTCTACATCCTACACCTTCCCAGGACCCCATGAAGGTACCAGCATGTGAAGAAGAAATTCTTATCTGTTAAGACTTTATATAAAAAGAAATTGTTATAACAAAAATCCAGTTTGGTAGCCTTTTTTTCTCCCACTGACTTTTCTGTACTCACAATAAAATTGTACCTTTTATTTACCAAGCCTTCGGTGGGACCTATCTTATTGTTATCCTCCATTTTACAGATAGGCCAGCCGAGGCTCAGAGATCTTATATTTGTATGAGTGAGCAGCCAGCCCTGCGGGGAAAGGGGGAGTTATTAAAGAGTGGGACAGGAAGCAGACTTCTCCTCTTATCTACCCACACACCCCGTGGGGGATGGGAGGCAGGAGATGTAGGCCAAGGGGACTGCCTACTGGTCACTGCCCAGGCCAGTGCCAAGAGGACACCCATACCTGAGAGATGTATACATAGAAGGTGCCACTTCAGACTGAAAGTAGAGAAGAATACTGGGGTGGGGAGGGTGTTGTGGACCACTCCTAGGTGGTAGTGCATTTTCCAAGAGTAGGAGGTCAACAGAGAAGTTGGGGCCAGTCATTTCAAGTAGGGACTGTGAGTGCCCAGTCACCAGGGCATGAAGAGGGTCATGTTCCTGCCCTTGGAGTTCCTGGGGAAGGCTTGTTCTATACAGTGGGGCAGGGTGACTGAGTCAGGGGTGAGGAATCTCAGGATTGAGTTTCAGGCTGGCTGGGTGGGGAATCCTCTCTTTTCACTCAAGGTTCTGCAACCAGTAATGAGTGGAAGAGCAACTTTATCAGAAGGTCTGACGGATTACTCCAGCTGCTGAGCCCTGGCCCCCACCTCCACCCCTGCCCCATGTTGAGATTTTCTTCACATTTGCTCCAGGGTCTCAGAAAGTTCCTCTGACTCTTATTCATAGCTTCCTTACCCTTACTTTAGAAAGAGTTCTAACCACCATCCTGTTTTCTCAGCTCTCAGATTAGACATTGCTGATTATAAGAATCAAAGGGTGGTGGATTAAAAGCAGGAAAGGGTGAGGAGGAATGTGTTGATGACAATGAAGCGGCAGGAAAAGGATTAAAAAGCAAGATCTATGAGGGCCCAAGCCCCTGGGGACATGGAGATGATAGGGCAAAGAACTGGGCTGACATTGGTTGAGAGTGAGAGAGAGGTGGACGAGTGAGGGCTGTCTTTCCTGGGAATGGTGCCCAAACCCTGGTATCCAGCTGGCGTCTACCCTGTTACTGGTGGTACCCTGAGCTCTTGGCTGGCTGTGGAGCCTGATGGCATGGCTCCTCCAGGTCACCGTGGCCCTGCCAGAGATATCTGTGGTTCCTTGTTCCTTTAGCCTGGATCTCAGCTCCTTTACTGCTCCCAAAAATACCTGAGATGACTCCTCCATCTACTCAACTCCCAGATCTGAGTCACCCAGTGGGTGTGTGGTGGGACAGGGAGGGGCCAGAGGCAGGCTGTTTCCAATCTGGGGCTACAGCCTGGACAGACAGCTGCTGAAGGAAGCACAGAAAACACTTCACTGTCCCCAGGTGCCTGCAAAGTGCCACACATTGGGGGAAGGCTTTGCAGGCAGGCATCACCTTATGTCATGCTCACCACACCTTGGAAGTAGGTCCAAACATTTCTCCATAGGCAAGAAACCCAAGACTCAGAGAAGGCGAGGGACTGGCTGAAACCACCCAGCAAGGGAAGTGCAGTACAGAGCTGACATCTGGTCTTCCCAGCTTGCTACAGGAGAGGGACAGGACAGATATTGAGGGCAGCGGCTCTCAGACAAGTTGCTTTTGGATACTGAATTCTATACCCTTGGCTCCCTGACTACTGAGTGTCATAAGCCATTTGCTTGGCCAATGGGCCTGCTTCTCACCTTTGCCTCCACTTCAACCAGGGGACAGTTTTTGCCCAGAAGGGGACTGCCAGCTACCCCAGGCTGCACCCCAATGTTTTCCTGGTGCAATCTTTACAGGTGTCCCTACCGGAGAGTAAAGGGTGACTGTCAGGAGCAAGGACAGTAGAGGTATATCAGTGGGCATCAGATCCTTGCCAGAGACCCAGTCTGGCAGATATGGTCAACCCTGGGTGGTATGATGCTTGTGAAAGGAGCACTGCCTGCCTTTCACAGTCTGGAAGAAAGAAGTGCATCATGTGTTGGGGACACAGAACCCGGTACAATACATAGACAATAAGTGACAGTAACCCTTTACCAATTAACCCCTTCACCAGTACAAATGCTCCTTTGATACCAACAGAGACAGACTCCATTCAGGCCCTGGGGACATAGCAGGGAATAAGATGAATGCAGTTGCATCCTAGTGGGACTCATGGCCTGGTGGGAGAGACAGTCAAATGGTCACACAGCACATTCAGAGAGTGTAGAGAGAATAAGGAGGGACCGAGAGACACTTAATGGCTTTGGGTGTGGGTGGAGGGGCACTGTTTCAGCTGGAGTGGTTACACAAATACAGTCTGAAACTGAGCCTAAAGACCTAAACACAGAGCAGCAAGAACTGACCATGGAGACAACTTGGGAGGGAAATGTCCCAGGTGACAAGAATTGCCATGGCGATGATCTCAAGGTGGAAACAAACCTGGTGTGATCAGGAGCAGAAACAAGAGGGTCTGGGAGGCAGAAGAGGGGTGAAGAGCAGAGGGGCCTGGGCAAATGGACTTGATCACAGTATAGTGGAGTGTCTCTTCAGAGTTTAACTGGGAAACGCCAGGATCCAAAGCACCTGCCAGCTAGCTAGATGAGGATGACCCCATAATGATCTGGGGGACAGAAGGACAGAAGGAGGCAGGAGCAGCAATTTGACGACCTCAGTCGTGATCCATGTCCACTGAGTTCTCACTGCAGCCCTGTACATCAGCAGGCATTGTCCCTTTTACAACAGCAGAGATTAGACTCTTAAAAAGGGCAAGTGGCTTGCTCAAGGTAACAGCTTACAAAGGGCACAGCCGGAGTTCAAACCCAGACAGCAGACTGTATTTGTGTAACCACACGGCATCCCTCAGACTCCTAGGGGCTGGCCTGCTAAAGCCTCCACATCCACAAAGTGGAAAGAGGAGGGCAGGCAGAAAGAGGGGGGATATCCAGGAGGGCTACTGGAGAAGGAGCCTAGGGGATGGGAGGTAGGTTTGGAAACTGATCCTTCCCAGTGTCCTTCCCTGGACTCAAAAATCCCCCTCTGGCAAGATTTTGGCACAGAAATGCTGCTAGGCTACCCAGGTTTCCCTTAGTGGTGAGAGATTTCACTGCTCAGTATCTTGCTGAGATGCTTTATTATGATCACTGAGTGTACCAATATCTCCCAGGGGTTATTGAACTGAACCTGGACAAGGCTTTTAATCCACCACCAAGCAAATCTTGCCAAGTCAAGCAAGGCTGGACCTGGGTCTGAATAGGGATAGGCCATGGCCGAGTCAGCTCCATCTTTCAGGCAGGAACCCTCTGGCCCTGCACAGCAGCCGTGTGTGTGTGTGTGTGTGTGTGTGTGTGTGTGTACACACACACTCATGGTCTGCATATAAGGAATCCTGGCCCTCTGGGGTGAAGGAGAAATGGGACCTGTGCAGGTCTGGGCAGTCTTTTCAGATCAACCTGTCAGACTAGTTTTAATATAGAGCAAGTGTTAGTTGCACCAGAAAGTCAACAGCCTTTCCTGGAGAATGTGTTCTCCTCACTCCTCATTCCCTTTCCCCAACTTAGGAGGGTCCCACACTGGCTGCGCGGGGTGTCACTCTGGAGCAGCAGGCTGGAGCTCCCACATCTGAGACTCATGACAGGAGAGTCCTGAAAGCTGAATTCCAGCCCATGAGCTTTCCCCATCCCTGCCCCGGCTCTAACCTCCATTCTACCCCTAATCTAGATTTTGTACAGTACACTCAGTACCTTACAGAGCCTGAGATTCCTACGCTGTGAAATGGGGACAGTGACAGAACCCCTCAGGGGTTTATGAGGTGATGCTGAGGAAAGTTTGATAGTGTTTACCTTAGCAGCTGCTGTACTGGCATTATTGTGATTCCCTGCCTATTGCTTTGATCCCATTTAAGAGGAGAGCAGGACAGTACTGATATTCCCTGAGGCCCTCATGGGAGGTACAGGAGAGCTGGGCTGGGTCTGCCTGGAGCTATGAGCTACCTC